GCACTACAAACAAGCAACCTCTTTCTATTCCAAACTGGGACTTACCCCCCAGACTCTGTCAGCTTCCTGATGGCTATGGAAATGGGCAAAAGTCCCCCCTGACATTAGAAGCAATCCAAACTTCTCCCTTGTGAATGAAGCCAAACTATGAAGGAAATTTCTAGAAACAGAAGGTTAGTATAGCCTTGCAAATACTTAGATGGAAATGGATAAGCAACCTCTTTCTATTCCAAACTGGGACTTACCCCCCAGACTCTGTCAGCTTCCTGATGGCTATGGAAATGGGCAAAAGTCCCCCCTGACATTAGAAGCAATCCAAACTTCTCCCTTGTGAATGAAGCCAAACTATGAAGGAAATTTCTAGAAACAGAAGGTTAGTATAGCCTTGCAAATACTTAGATGGAAATGGATCAAACCAAGCTCATTTCAACACCAATACTGTGTAATCATGATGTTCTCAGACCTTACTAAGAAACACTTTGCCATGTTTTCTCTTCCATGCTGCAAGGAAAAATAATCCTTAGCATATGTACAACAGTCAGAGAGTGATACCATCAGTTTGGAGTTCCAAGTACAAGAAGAGATTGAGAAATGCTTAATGTTTCTGCTGTAGAGAAATATTTAATGCAACAGAATTCCTTCTCAAAGTCAGTACATTAGTGTGCATGCTGTTGTCAAGTAGTCACTTTCAATTCTAGTAAATTTAACTTAAGAGTTATATTTCCAAAGGAGCTTCTACAGTAGTAAGGTATAACAATTGCAGTATGCCACACCTAAGGAGTCTCCCAAAAGATAAGGTAACAAACATCAGAACTCACAGCTTGGGGGCTATTTAACAGGTCAGTTTTTCAATACAAAAGTGCTAATATCACAGGTCCAACATGAGTGGCTTTTAGATCCAATATTCTGTACATACATTGCAGAAATTCTGTCCTCCTGTTCTTTTTCACTACTTCACAAGCTTGAGAGACTTCATATCACTTCCCATTCGTCTTCAAAATCATCAGGGTGAAGCAGAACAGAAGTGTCATTATTTTTCTGCAAACCATGGGAATGGCTAAAGGTCTTCGTGAGGCGCTGGAGCAGAGATCCTGAAGTGCTGATCGCCCACAGTTCATCTAGAGGGGTCACTGCAAAGCATAAATTACCCATCTTTTAATTAAGGTAGCAGCTTCCAATTATAAACACTAAACAAATAATCCTTGGATCTGTTTTCCCAATTATACCCAGAGAGGGTCTGTACTGAAGTGATAAAAGCAGCCGTGGTGATGCTCTCACAGAGTGTGAGCTCTCCCTGCAGATGGCCAGCTCAAGCACCATCAGGCAGAAGTCAAAGCAGACATGGCAATGTTTTGGGCTGGCATGCACAACCAACTTGCCTGTTAAACGGGAGACATTTCCAGGAATCTTCTTCCAGTAGTCTCCTGCAGGATTCTTGTCAGTGATGCCGTAGCGACGAGCTACATCTCCGTTGGGACAGCGTGCCCAAACTGTCCTGGTACTCAGAGCCAGCTGGCAAGCCTGCAAACCTGGGGAGTGGGACACAAAGAGGGAATAAGCACAGGCTTTCCTGGATACTAAATACCCTTGCAGAAAAGTGTTGTGCTCAGTTTGGGACCCTCACTGCCCAAAGGCCATTGAGGCACTGGAGCGAGTCCAGCCAAGGGCAATGAGGGCAGCAAAGGGCTAGAGCACATGGGCAAGGGCTGAGGGAGTTGGGCTTGGGCAGCCTGGAGAAGAGGCTCAGGGGTGACCTCCTGGCTCTCTGCAACTCCCTGCCAGGGCTGGAGAGAGGTGTGGGATGTGTGTCCTGCCAGGGCTGCAGGGAGAGGACTAGAGGGAATGGCCTTGAGCTGAGCCAGGACAGAGTCAGATTGGATGTGAGGAGAAATGTTTTCCCTGTGAGGGTGTTGAGGCACTGGGATATTGCCCAGGGAGGTAGTGGAGTCACCATCCCTGGAGGTGTTGAAGAGGGATCTGGATTTGATGTTGGAGGATCTGGTTTATGGTTTAGGGGTTCTAGCAGCGTCAGGTTAATGGTTGGACTTGATGATCTTAGAGGTCTCCTCCAACCTTGATAGTTCTATGAAAAGTTTATTAAGAGCAGATGCCAAGACTGTGATAGTTTTCATATCCTCTTACATGAAGCACTGGTGAACAAAAAAGCTTTTCAAATGCAGACTCTTTACTCACTGCATCTATTGACCATAAGGTTATCACACTGTGGATACATTTTGTTATGTGGCTACAGCCACAAGCAACATCCACTTGGAGGATCTTCAGAACACACTTATGGAGCCTACACTGTATGTTACAACCACATGGGGAACAATCCAAGGGTTACAATCTTAATTTGTCTAAAAATGGTTACTATTATAGACATTGTGGACTTTTCTCCCCTTCTCACCAGTACTCTGCAACTGAGTGCTGTGTGTTTGTGCAGTGACAAACCTTTGAAGAACAACCAGCACCAATGCAGTTATTTAGAAAGAAGCAACCAAAATTTAGTGTTCCTTACAGGCAAAAGTGTAATTACCTAATCCACAACACATCCAGCATCAGGATTAGTAGAAAGATGTGCAAAGTAGCATTAGGTTTTTGCTAACCACATCTGGACAGGAAGTCCATGTGATACCACATTTAAATACAAAACTTCCCACAGCACAACAGTCTCCTGGTGCTTAGGAATTCTGCTTTATTTCTATCTGAAAGGGAACTGCGGCCACATGTTAATTCAGTGGCAGCAGCCCGAAACAACACAACAGGAATCAATCAGAAACATGGGATTTCTCCCAGTTAACTACTTGGTGTATTTAGGTAAAACCCAATTCCTCTTTAAACGATAACCCTTATCAAACACTTGATTGCCAAGAAAAATATTTGATTTAAGCATTGCTGTCCAACTTAAAAAACAACAAGAAAGAAAAGAAAACCTAAACAAAACAAACCCACTGAGAAAATGGCAGAAACAACAAGGAAGGGATGCATTAATTTTTACCTGGTACATGTTCCCAGTCAGTGCCCACAGGCATCTCATCCGTGATTCCCACTCGGACATGGACATTCCACTTGCTATCAATTGCCCACAACATCTGGTCATTTGGACTCGAGTGAATGCTGACCAAGTTGATTCCTACTGGCTATAAAAATCAAGCACAGTATTTTAAACTTTGCCCTACTGTATCTTTGTACTGTTGTAGCACTTGTTCTTCACAGAACTACACAAGTGAAATATTTACCAGATGCTAAAGACAGGAAGAAATGTAACTGATATTTGATTGTATATCATCAATTCCCTGAAAAGTCAATCCCTTTCTAAACAGAAAAGGAACATGAATGAATGTCACCCAATTACTGATAATGATATTCATATTGGATTTTCAGCATCCAAGTCGAATAATGTTAGTGTTTGCTTAATCACTGCTACTCCAATCAGATACAGCTCAACTGCAAGGTGAAGAGGGAACTCTTCCAGTAAAATGCACAGTGAAACATTTTCCTTCCTTACCTTCCTGAGAACTTTCCTAACATAACCAGCTCTGCACTTTATTTCTGAGCATATGCAAGCAGTATATTTTTACAGTCTGAATGTGTCCTCTTTGCATTGAAATGGGGATCTGCTGCTATTTGCAGACAATTCTAAGGTGGGTGGGAGTGTGGATCTGCATGAGGGTAGGAAAGCTCTACAGAGAGACCTGCACTGCCCAGATTAGATGTTAGGAGAAATGTTTTCCCTGTGAGGGTGTTCAGGCACTGGAATATTGCCCAGGGAGGTGGTGGAGTCACCATCCCTGGAGGTGTTTAAGAGGTGTCTGGATGTGGCACTGGAGGATCTGGTTTAGGGTTTAGGGGTTCCAGCAGTGACAGGTTGATGGTTTGACTCCGTGATCTTAGAGCTCTCCTCCAACCTTGACAATTTATTACTCTTCCCTGTACTCCATACAACCACAGAACTCACAGCAGACCACTATGGTACTGGAGCAGCCACACCTGCAGGAGTGGATCCACAACACTATCTGTTGGCAAACACAAGTGAAACACATTTCCCATTCTGCTCCCGGGCATATCCTTACTCCATCTGCTTCTATGGAGATTTGCCTTAACTACTGCTCAAAATCAGAGTTAGTGACAGCATAGCGATGGTGATTTTGCAGCAAAATACATCAGACAACAGGTTGGAGGAATGTAAATATCCTACAAAACATGTACTTTAAATAAAGCACAGATAGAAACAACAAAAAGAAGCTTTTCTCCTCACCAGCCTAATAAAGGCACTGAAGGAGACAGTACCATACCCTAAAATACATCACCTCTTCTCAAAGCAGCACTGCATTCCTTGCCTTAGCCTCACAGGCATAAGCTGAGTTTCCAGTGTTAGAAACAGAAGAGCAAGAGCTCTGTGCATGGATAAAGTTAGGAACACAGAAGCATAACCTGCACACAGCCCAGTCCCAGATGAGCCTTCTGTGTACATAACAGGACCCTGCTTTGGTTTTGCTTCTGCAGTGCTGGTGCTGACGTGTTTCTGACTCAGCTATAACCAAGCCTGACTTGCACCACCAAATCAATCCTGTTATTCAGGTTGCAAGGCCTTTGACAGACTGTCTTCTCATGTTTGTGCTGTGATTAGGGATTTGCCCTCTGTTGGAAGCCTGAGGCTGGTAGAGGCGTGTTCAAGTGTTTACCTCTGGTCACGGTAAATTCACAGTGGCTGCAGCTTGAACACCTACAAGTAAAGCCACTAACAGCCTTGATAAGCCCTGACCACACAGAATATGTCACTACCTAGCTGATCTCAAACTGGGTTTAAACTACTGTACTGAAAAAATAAAACCACCAACCAAAAAAACCCTAAACAACAAACCACACCAAAAAACCTCCAAACAAATCCAAAACCAACCAACCAACACACTAAACCACATAAAAAACAAAACACTCCAAAACCCCATACAATTCTCCCCTCTGGACTTTCTGCCTCTTCACTGGAAGTGATCCTTACTCCTGGCCCTGTTCCCATTTCTCCCCTCCATTTATTTTTTGCATCTTTCTACAGCTGCTTTGGCTCTCACTCCCTGCTTCTCCCCACACCAGTATCATGGGGTGGTGCCTCACAACTGGAACAGATTGCCCAGGGAGGTGGTGGAGATGTGTAAGAGGTGTCTGGATCTGAAGCTGCAGGATATGGTTTAGGGTTTAGGAGTTACAGCAGTGACAGGTTAATGGCTGGACCTGATCTCAGAGGTCTCTTCCAGTCTTGATGGGTCTATGATTCCATGACTGTGTTGCTTCCAGCCTCATCACGTCCCTCTCCATATTTCTGCTCCTGTAGTCCCATATTTTCATGTAAGGGATCTGTGGTGTTAATATCTTGTGTAGGGTGGATTCCTGCACTAACAGAGACCTTTGACTTTTATCCTTTTTTCTGCTTCTCTATTTTACTTTTTTAACTCTGCTTACCTCTTTCTCCTTATTGTGTTCTTCTAACAGTCACCTCTTCTTCAGATTTAGGACTTTCTGTCACTTTTTACCCCATCTCCTTCACACCAGGAATTGCCAGTGTGCCTACCTATGTTCCACCTCTGCCATACACTCCATGTTCTCCTTCATAAACTGGGCCCAACAGCTTGGAGTGACTTTTGTTACTGAATCACTGGGACTTGTGCACCTTGCTCTCCACTCTCCCACGTAAGGATCCCATTCCTCTCTTCCTCTGTCATTTGTCTGGAATAGAATTCTCTGAGGAAGAACTGGAGGAGTATTACCATCCCAAAAGACTTACTGAGTGCTTACACCCAGTACCTAAGCCTGTGCATTACTGCAGATTTATAGGCAGTGGAGGCTAAGAAAAGCAGACAAAACACCCCAAAGGAGTGCCATGAGAGGAGCTGCATGAATCTCAGCTAGATTGCTTCTGATACCACTGCAGGCTCAAGTATAATCAAAGCAATTGCTCCTACCCTATTCTGCAGCACCAAAGCATCTAAGAAACAAACAGAAATCATCAAATTCAAAGTAATGTGCCTACAAGCTTGGCAAAAAATCTCATTCTTTGCTTTTCTAAGTGAGCTCATTTCCTCCCTAAGCTTTTGTGCCTCTCTGGGTATTTCACTTCCAGTTTCTCTTCCCTCTTCAGGCACTTAGCTTTTTCTGCTGAACTCTCATAAAAAACCCACAATCCTCTTGCTCTCACTGCAAAGGATCCAGGAACCACCTCCACCTGCTGCAGCTTTCTGCTGTGAAACAGCTAGCAAAGGACACAACAGCCAGGACAGACAGTGACAGCATTATTAAGCAGCTTTTGGCACAAACCAGGGACAAGACATTGGAAACAAGAACTGACAATTCTTAGAGCTTGTTGCAGAGGTTTTACATCTGTTTTATTTACCCAGAAAGCAGCCACCTACAGCAAACAGGTGTTCTCATGGCTACCACAGTGAGGCAGATAAAATTAACCCAAAATTTCCCTGACATAATGTTCCACTTTTTGGAACCATCATGCTGACATCATCTCAGACATCCCTCATTCTCACCAAGTTTTAATTACCACAAGCATGCTTTCAGTATTTTATAACCTATCTAACAAGAAAGCCTCTACAGCTGCAGTTAAAGGTTAAACAGAGTTCTCTCACAGCAGTAAAGAAATATCTGTGCAAATCCATAAATCTGCTGATAACATTTCAGGGAGTGATAACCATGAAAATTAAATTTCAGCGTAGTCTGTTCTCAGCTGGTATAACTTTCAGACTGATATACCTTGACTGTGAAATATGTCCTAGTTGTAATTTACTGAGGAGTTTGGAATCTTAAAGAACCTCACACCAGTCTCTCAGTTTTCCTCCTCTGACATCAACATACCAAACTCTGTTTGTACATTTATCCACGATACTCATCACTGTGAGAAATTGACTTGTGGCTCATTCCTGGAGCCAGTGTGATTTGATAAAAAATGGGGGAACATCATTTTCCTTTCACTTGGGGGTACCCAAAGTTGCTCAACTCTAAAAAACTCAAGAGTCTGACTGTTTTAGCCCAGAACAGAATGCAGATCCTCCTGCCCTCTGGTCTTGTGTCTCGGCTACAAACACTCCAGGCACTCTCTGCCTTGGTACTAAGGATTTTCAATCACAACCATGGACTGCAACACATGCCAACCATGTATTTTTCTACATACTAAGAGCTGTGGATGTATTTGTTGTCTGTTACAAATAAAAACAAGAGCTTGCCTAGCACCCACATGTCTGACAAGAAAACTGTGTTGATAACCTGAAGTAAACTTGAAGGAATCACTTAACTGGCAGCTGTTAAATGATATCAAGAAACAGTGTCTATGCTAAATATATTTAAGTTGCCCATTAGCTTTATAATTCTGTGCAAGTAATTTCCTTTTGCTCTGCAAACCACAGAGAAATAAGCCTCAGTGTAAGATCTTAAACAATAGTATCAAACAAAACCCAAAGTCAAAACTAGCAAGTTTCTCCTCCCTTGTCCCCTGACATATTACTCCAAAGTCTTGTCCTACTGGTCACAGCTGAACCCAAAACACAATGGTTGAACTCCTCTGTCAAGGAAGAAGGGACAAACACATGCAGAGAAAAAAAGTCACCAGAACATTTTGCATGTCACTCCTCAGGAGCACAGAGTCCACGTACCACAGAGCTCCACTATCTCTGTTCTGCTGCAAATACCCAGGATAAGGAAAACTAAACATAACATTATCAGTCTGACCAAGCCCAATCTTTTTCATAACAGGCTGGTGGCTACATGCAGCACAAATGCTCTTCTTGCCTTCAAAAGACAAAGCAGAAACACCTCCAGCTGGTCCAGGCCAAGCTGTAAGGAGGTCACATCAGAGATACTTCTCACACTGTTGAGCATGATGTGTATATTAGACTAATCTGACTGTTTTCTGGACTAACATCACCCAGACCCTATTAACACAAGTAACAAAGAATGTAACTCAGAAAGACTCTCCCCCAATATAGGCCTACTTGCATATTATTTTCTGAGGCCCATTGGAATGAAGGTTGTAAAGCACTTTCAGCATTATCTCCTAAATTAAGTGCAGCACTTTTCTCTGCAAAGCCTTTGAAGACAATACACAGGAGCAGGAAAGGTGAATCTGTGCTTGGTCTTCCTTGAAGCCACGT